AATTATTCCCAGTACGTGCCTGACTCCCAGTCCTGAACCAAACCCCAAACATAACCCAGATCGTCCTGATGGCGAGCGTTTAGAGATCTGTCTTGATAATCTGAATAACCTCTGGAAAGTAGTTCTGAATCTATTTTTTTATATATATATATATGAGGATTTTTTTATTGTCATTTAAAAGATGAAATTTCAAACCATATTTTGATTTTAGGATTTCCTTTTTTTTTTTATTATAATTATTATTATTTATCCTTTATTTATACAGGTTAGTCTCTTTGAGTCATGAGGACTCATTTTCAAGAGACGGACGGCGCATAGAGTACAACATACAACAATAAAAGCACATAGTGTTATAAAAACAATAAAATTAAAGTGCCGTATAAAACAAGGTAAAATACTAAAAACAAGAGCACATTAGCCGTTATGGAAGCAGCTCCTAGTTGGATTGAAAATGGCTTCGATGGCACGCGGGGAAAGAAGCAAACGACTGAAGGCTTTCCTGCTCGATGTCATCGTCGGTTGTTGGTAATGTAAAAAAAAACATTCATTAGGATTATTTTTCAGACGTTTCAGTCATGTGACCCGTATATAAGGTATCAGTTGCAGTTGTTACAACCAGCAAGTTGTGCGGCCAGGTTTTGCGTGACCGCTTTTTAAAGCTTATTTTCATGTAATTCTAGGTCATGCACATTACTTTGTTGCTCATCTCGCTTTGTACCCAAACTAATAATTGAATCTACTGAAATGCAGCTTTGCTAATAATTATTTGCATCGCTGTAGTTTTCAGACCTGAACTTTCTGCCCATGATCCCTGTTATTAGATGGGTCCCATGCACGTGTCAAAACCCAACTTTACCACTCCAGAAATATGGAAACTAATGGGGCAACATGGATCAGTGGTTAGCACTTCTGCCTCACAGCAGGAATGTCCTGGGTTCAATCCCTGGTTTGAACCTGGGGTCTTTCTGTGTGGACTTTGTGTGGGTTTTCTCCTGGTACTCCGGTTTCCTCCTACAGACCAAAAACTTGCATGTTGGGCTTTCCTGGCCTCCCTTGCCAAAGAGGTCTGTGATCTCAATTTGCCTGTTTAAAAAAAAGTTAATAATAACCTTATTTTTTAATCAGTCTTTTTATTTTTTCAGAACACGCACACATACAAAAAACAACACAATCCCTTCCCACACCGGATCAGCCACACATACATGAACACACTACACATGCATTGTCATATTTTCAACATGCAACATAAACTGGCTGCCAACTGTCCCATAATCTCTCAACAGAACCTTTCAGGGTATATCTAATTTTGTCCTGATGAATACGATATATCGCTTCTCTTATCCAGTGTTCATATGCCGGGGGATGTGGATCCTTCCATCTTCATAGAATAAGTCTCCTGGCTAGAACAGAGCCAAAAGCAATCATATTCCTTCTTGTACTTGCTGAAGGACGTATCCTCATGGGGACACCCCAAACAATGAAACAAATGGTGACGGGTGAGCAGTTTTCCCTCATGTCACAGAGGAGGTATCGAATATAGATTGCCAATAGCTTTGCAGCTTTGGACAAGTCCAGAATGTGTGCAAGAGCGTAGCTGGAGTTTGTTTACAATGATTGCATGCGGGGTCCAGATCAGCTTTGATCTTGGACAGCTTGTCTTTGGACCAATGCAGCCGGTGCACCACCACAAATTGAATTACAGCGTGTCTCAGACAGAGTGAGGATGAATAAATGTTCTGTCTCCAACAGTTGCAACCCAGTGAGATACTGGCTTTGACAGAAGTTTCGACCCCCCACCTTAAAACCTAGATTAGGCGTGTTTCCATGTAAAATACTCGAGGTGTTAACAACATCAAATGTCTCCTTTTGGCAGGTCAGAACAGCTCAGTGTTTCTTCAAAGAGTGCTTTTCTTTTTTTCATATTAGGTGGAAAAAAATGTGAATAACAAGATGAAATCATTTTTTGGATGCTTTGAAATTATCTTCATTAACTAACTAGTCTACGCTGTCATTCATATTTAAAGCACTAAATTATATATCAAACGTCTCGTTGGGTTCGTCTTGTTTTCATTTTTGTTGATCCCACTTGAGTTCAAACCTCCGTTTGTGGGACTGGCTCATCTTCAGATCATGACAGAAAAATGAACGTGGATTTCCTGTGTGTGATTCTGTGGCCCACGAGGAAAAGGGAAGATAATGGTCCGATAAGCTGTGGGGGGCCTGTTCTCCGACCTCATTAAGTCTCCCCCCCCCCCGGGGTGGCTGTGGTGTTGACACACACAGAGTCGGGCTCGTGTTGCTGTTGGCAGCTTTTAATAAAGTCCTGTCATCGAAGTGAAGCGTCCACGCAGGTGGAGCTCAGGTCTGAAGATGTAATCACGCAGGTGTCGTGTGCTTCTGTCGCAGATAAGAGCGTCCCGCGGCCGGTGGTCGCTCCTGAAGACCAGGTGGTGTTGAGGAACGAAGAGGCCATGTTCCACTGCCAGTTCACCGCTGATCCCGACCCAACGGTGGAGTGGTACCACGAGAACGAACTGCTGGTTAACAAGTCTCGGTGAGTTGAAGGCTAAATCCTCCTGTCAGTCTTTAATGCTTTCCTTCAACTCCCCCCTTACTCCTACCAGCTAATCATCCTGCTGTCACTTATTTCAAAACCATCATAGAAATATCATCCTTGTCTAAGTAGCTTCAGACATCATGAGGTGAAATGACAAACCCCTCGGAGAGCTGTGGCTGCTCAGACTGGTCGGCGTCTCAAACTTGGAAACGCTGCCGAATGTTTTCATGTCTTGGATACTTTTTCTTTTTTCAACCATTGTCTTTAAACCCTAGAAATAGTTGTACGTAGAAAATAATTCTAATAAATGATCAGTTTCTGAAACACTCGGACCTGCCCGTCTGGCACAAACAGCCACATTCAGTCACTTAAATCCAAATGGCAGAATTTAACAAGATTAACACTTGAAAACAATTATTTGTTTGCTCGAAATTAGAGCAAAGGTGTGTCTCAGTTGAACTTTTACTTAATAAATGCACTTCGATGGTCAAATCAGCTTCATTTCATCGGGACGGTGCAGCAAAATGAAGCTGATTCAGTTGCTCCAGGCGAGCTGGACAAAGGTGGCAGTCTATGGCAAGCCGATTGTGTCACTAATAGCCACTTTTACTTATTACATGACACAATGGCATGCCATACTGCTCGAGTGCCATCTAGCGGCTGAAAATGTTAGTGTTTGATATTTTCAGTCCGAATGTATGAAAACGGTCGTATCTCAGCCAAAATTTGTTTTATAAATATGGAAAAAATATATATAAACAAGTTGCAGGGCAAGTAAATTATGCAAAAAAACAGCGACTTATAGGCCGAAAAATACAGTATACATATGTGTGCGTGTTATAATAATTTAAAATGACTACAGAAAAGTACGGTAACTCTACTAGGACAAACGGCTCCTCGACTTGCTTTATACTCACTTTATCAGATCCTAATTCAAACGAAAAGATTGCGATCCTCTTGAGACTGACGGGAAGAAATTCAGAACCTCCATGAATGTTCTGTGCGTAGTCGACAATAAAACACGGCTCACCATGAAAACACAAATAAATTGAAACCGAGTGATAACGGTAAACTACCGTACATCAAATTAGGTCAATTTAAGACAATTTAAACGCTCTCAATTCCAAAAAAAAAAGTGGTGTAAGGGCAACAGAAGTTTGTTACAGTAAGTGATATGAATAACGAGCAGCTGGAGGAACTTTTTAATTAATTTATTTATTTTGCAATGAATGAAGTTAACTGATCAGTAAGAGGGAACACATCTTTTAGATGTGAATATGTTTCACTTTGCTTTAATCTTTTGACATAAACTGTGAGACTTTCAGATCATTGCGTCATGTTTTTATTTACCTGTTACGCAACATCCACATGTTTTTTTTTCCAGCGGTTAGACACGTCGTCACACGAACACCACCTTGTGTCTAGCTGATGACAAAACGACGCAGTGAGCAGGAAAAGACCTCAAGCTGCAATCATCTCACCAGCACACGCTCTATAAACGCACCAGCTCTCTATAAAAACACCATTTCTAATCCTGCCCTCGGGGTCTGGAGCACTTCTGCTAAATGCCTGTTCAACATGCAGAGTACGATCCTCGTTTTTATGTTTCAGTTCTTACCGAGCTCACGGGGAAGGTGACTCAAACTGTAATGAGCCCATTTGTTCTCTAAGACGCCGATGACTCAGCAACAGGGTTTAAGACGATGAGGGATACAAGAACACTTTGAAAAGCTGCTGATTGTGGACGAGGAATTCCACGGCAGCCCCGGTGTTTTTTGATATTCTTGTTTATTGATCTGTGATTGTGACACCAGAGGAATGCAGCTCTGTGAGCGGAGAATATCATCGTTCCTTCACCTGCGGTGTTTAAATAACCCTCTGCCTTTACATGCGCCATTTTGTGCGCAAAGGAACAAATCGAGCCTTTAGCTATCATTCTGCTACTTTTAACGTTTTGTTACTCATTTGCAGATTTTTATTTTATTTTTTGGTATCGTTTTTGTCTTGCATTTTGCAACTTTCATCTGTTAGCTAACATTCTGCTAGTTTTAGCTTTTGGTCGTTGTGTTACTATTTGTAGCTTTTAGCTAGCATTTTTCTGATTGTGCTTTTTGTAAGACTTTTTGCTACTTTTAGTTAGACTTATGTTTTTTAACAATCCTGTTGGTGCTTTTAGCTAGCTTTTTGCTACATTTAGCTAATCTGTTGCTACTTTTAGCAAACCTTTTGCAACTTTTAGCTTTTAACAACCATTCTGCTAGATTTAACCTTTTCTTGTTGTTCTGCTAGTTTTAGCTTTTAGCTGCCACTTTGCTATTTGTAGTTGTTAGTTAAGTTTGGTTTTAAGCAAGCCTTTATCTACTTTTAACTTTTAGCTGCTCTTTTGCTACTTTTTCTTCTCATCTAGCATTTTGCAACTTTTAGCTGCCACTCTGCTAGCTTAAGCTTTTAGCTACCATTTTATTCCTTTAGTTTTTAGCTAGCATTTTTCTGATTTTGCTTTTAGGAAGATTTTTGCTACTTTTAGTTAGACTTGTTATTTTTTGCAATCCTATTGGTTCTTTTAGCTAGCTTTTTGCTACGTTTAGCTAACCTGTTGCTACTTTTAGCAAACCTTTTGTAGCTTTTAGCTACCATTCTGCTAGATTTAACCTTTGGCGGCTCTTCTGCTAGTTTTAGCTTTTAGCTGCCACTTTGTTATTTGTAGTTGTGAGTTAAGTTTGGTTTTAAGCAAGCCTTTTGCTACTTTTAGCTACACTTTTGCTACTTTTTTTCCATCTAGCATTTTGCAACTTTTAGCTGCCACTCCCCTAGCTTAAGCTTTTAGCTACCATTTTGCTACTTGTAGTTTTTAGTTAGTATTTTGCTAATTTTGCTTTTAGCTTCTATTCTGCTACGAAAATTTTTAGCTAGTATTTTTCTACTTTTGCTTCTAGCTAGGCTTTTACTTCTTTATTTAGACTTTTGTATATTTTTAGCAATCCTATTGGTGCTTTTAGCTAGCTTTTTGCGACATTTAGTTAACCTGTTGCTACTTTTAGCAAACCTGTTGCAACTTTTAGCTTTTAGCTACCATTCTGCTAGATCTAGCCTTTAGCAGTCATCCTGCTAGTTTTAGTTTTTAGCTACCACTTTGCTTTTTGTAGTTTTTAGTTAATGTTATACTTTGTTTGTTTTTTAGCAAGCTATTTGCTGCTATTAAATTTTAGCTACTCTTTTGTTACTTTTACTTTCTATCTAGCCTTTTGCAACTTTTAGCTACCAATCTGCTAGCTTAATCTTTTAGCTACCTTTTCGCTACTTGTAATTTTTAGTGTTTTGCTAATTTTGCTTTTAGCTACCATTCTGCTTCTTTAACCATTTAGCTTCTGTTCTGCTACGTTAGTTTTTAACTAACATTTTTCTACTTTTGCTTTTAGCTAGACTTTTGCTTCTTTTAGTTAGACTTGCTGTTTTAGCTATCCTACTGGTGCTTTTAGCTTCAGTTGACCTGTTGCTAGTTTTGTTGCAACTTTTAGCTAACATTCTGTCAGTTTTAGCTTTTGCTACTTTTTCTTTCCATCTAGCATTTTGCAACTTTTAGCTGCCACCCTGCTAGCTTAAACTTTTAGCTACAATTTTGCTACTTCTTGTTTTTAGTTAGTTTTGCTAATTTGGCTTTTAGCTACTGTTCTGCTTCTTTAACCATTTAACTTTATTTTGCTACTTTTAGTTTTTGCACAGGTTTTTGTTACTTTTAGTAAATGTTTTGCTTCTTTTGGTTATCTGTTTTGTGACTTTGTGCTTTTAGCTTTTTATTTATTTTTATTTTTTTAGCTAGTGCTTTTTGTTTCTTTTTGTTTTAACAACTCAGTTTCAGCTTCTTTAGCGTTCTCTCTGCAGTTTCTTTCATATTTGTTAGTTTTTTAGCGAGGTTCGAAGACGTTTTCCCTCAGAGGGATGTGATGTTCCTCAGACTTGTTCCTCATCATCACGGGTAGAACAGAACTCCAGGTCCCACGGCTCCTTCGGCTTCTAGCTGCTGAAACAAAGAAGACAAGATGACAGAAACAGCCTGCTGAGGGAACCGCTGCAGTTCTCTGCTTCCATCAGATATTCACAGTTTTTAGTAACTCCTTTCTCTTAAATCTAAAATGAGCTGTTCGTGTGGGGAATCTTCGGCTCCTTGTTTTTAAAGTTCCTGCTCCTCCTGTCCAGCAGCAGCGCAGCCCCCAGGAGTATCGGCTCAGTGGTTCCCAAACCAGGTCCTTTGGGAACACCATCCTGCATGTTTTAGTTGTTTTCCTGCTCCAACACACCTGACTCAGTGCTTTAATTACTTCCTCATGTTCTGTAGAAGCCTGTTAGTCACCCATTTATTTAAATCAGACGTGTCAAAGGAAACGACTAAAACGTGCAGGATGGTGTTCCTCAAGGGCCGTGGTTGGGAAACATTGTAAATAAACAGCCTTTTTATCTTAAGTTTTCAGAAACTGAGTTTATTTGTTGTTGATTGATCATCAGATGGATCGGAGCACTTGGAGAGGTGTGCAGAATAATCGTTTATCTGTCTCCTGTGTGCAGAGTGTTCCTGCTGTCCAACGGGACTCTGATGATCACACAAGTCAAGCCCAGGAACACCGGAAACTACAAGTGTGTCGGCCGCGGCCTCAGAGGATCCCAGGTCACGCTGAAGGCTTCCCTCCTCATAGCCGGTACGAAAAAAACCACTTAAACTTCAGCTGTTGCAGCTGGCGACAGCTAAAGACCCAGGCTTCAGAAATCTGAGCCCGAGCTGCAAACTTCTGTTTCTCAGCTCGACTTTTCACTCGGAGCTCGGTCTGCCCGGCGCTAATCAGATCCCTGCACTGACATGTGGCTCCGCTGCATCCACTTCTCTCTCTGGAGCGGATCTTTTCTGCTGCTGCTGCTTTTTGTTGTTTCCTCCGACAGTCCAAATGTTTTCAAAACTTATTCGGGACAAAGTGAAACACTCGTGACGCACCACGAGCAGGCGAAACTGATAAACGAGCACTTTCTGTGAAAATGCAGCGCGGAGGCTGAGCGCTGAAGGACTGCTGAAATTAAATAATGAATTGGGAACTGCTCAGGTTAAAAACAAGCTGAACAGGAGCTAAAATCAGCAAAGCCACAGCCGAAAGCTAAATGTAGCAGAATTGTAGCTAAAAGCTCAAAATTAGAAAAAACATGTCTAACAACTACAGTTAGCAAAATAGTAGCTAATTTAAGTTACAAAATTTTAAGTAAAAGCTAAGTTTAGCCTAACTTTTAAATTTTATTAAATCATAATTAACAACTACAATTAGCAAAATGGCTAATAAAAAGTGAAATGTAGCAAAACTTAATTAAAAGCTACATGTAGAAAATTTGTAGAAAAAAATCTCATGAGCAAATTGGTACAAGTAAAAAACTAAATAGTAGCTAACAACTGTAGTTAGCAAAACTAGCTAAAAGTTTATTTAACAGAGCTGTAGTTGAAAGCTATTATTAGCTAAAGTATAGCTACCTATAAATTATCAAAACAATCGCTAAAAGTTAAATGCAAAAGTACCTAAGAGCTATAATTAGCAAAACTGTTGATAAAAGCTAAAATGGACAAAATACTAGCTGACAACTGATTCAGCTGACAAAACAATTCTGACAACTACAGTTTGCAAAACTAGCTAAAAGTTACTTCAGCAGAACTGTGGCGAAAAGCTAAAATGATCAAAACTGTTGACAAAAGCTAAAATGGACAAAATACTAGTTGACAAATCAATTGCTAACAACTGCAATTAGCAAAACTGTAAATTACAGCTCTAATGAGCCAATATTTAATTAAAAACTTTTGTTAAAAACTAACAAGGCCTAAATAATAGCTAATAACCACCATCAGCAAAACTGTAGCTAAAACTTACTTTAGCAGAACTGTGGCTAAAAGGTAAAATTAGCTGCATTGTTGCTAAAAGATAAAATTGATTAAACTGTAGCTAAATACAATGAGCAAAACTGTCGCTAGTAGTTCAATGCAGCAAAACTGTAGATGCAATCTAAAAGTAGCAATGTGTAGCCAAAAGCTAAAGTTAGCTAAATTGTAGCTAAAAGCTAAAATTTGCAAACGGTAGCTAAAAGCTACATTTAGAACAGCCAAAGCTAAAGGAGCATCAGAAGACATAACAGGAATATTGTAATAATTCATGCCAGGACGTCTCGGTGTGAAGGTTTATGAAGAAGCTAAACTCCAGTCTTTTAGTTGCGTTTGGACTAGCCGTTAGCTCATCGGTCTGGTCCAAACTGACGCCGTTCAAAGAGCTATGTACAACAGGTAAGATATTACTTGTTCATAATTTGTCCGCAGAGTTGCCCCACTTAAAGAAATATGTTTTTTTTTCTCTATCAAATTAATTTAAAATTTAACTAAAATGTAAGAAGAAAAACAAACTAAGAAAATAATTATCCAAATAATAGGAATAGCTCTCCTTGCGTTATTTTAAGTTTCTGCTTCAGATTAAGAGAAGCTGTAGTATCCTATTATTAATCTGCTAACTTTTTAATATTCATTTGCATGCAAGCCAAATTTTCTGAATAAGCTCGGGGCTGGAATGTCTGTTCATTTTAATGTCCCGAGGACTCTGTTCCCTTTGTCTTTACCCCCCTCAAGGGTTCCGGATTAACAAGGTACGAGATTCTCTGCAGCTTTAACCCAGTAACCTTCAGCTTCATTTAAATCTCTTAATTCAGATAATCTGGTGGTAATCCCAGCAGGCATTATGGGGCATTTTGGTAGAATTCAGTATTTAAAAACAAGTTCAAACAGTTTAATTAGAGCTCTGCCTCATTTGTTCATTTGCTGCTTCACTTCTCCATAATCTGCAGAGAATATATTTTTTAATAAATGATTTTAAAGATCTGAGTTCTGATTTCAGGCCTCTGCTGGTCATTAAAGTTTTGATGGGTTCCACAGGAGGACTTAGGAGGTGTTCTCATTACTCTTTGTTTAAGGGCTCATAGTTTCGGTGCGAACCACCTCACAGGCCTGAGCTAATCCTGTTAAAGTACAACCTTTATGTTCTGTGTTCATCCACTGCGAAATGGAAATAATAATAATAATAATAATGATAAATTAAATTCATTTCAGTTTATTTATATAGCGCCAAGTCACAACAGAAGTTATCTCAGGGCACTGAACAGAAACATTCACATTTATTATAAATGTCAATTAGTAACGTTTATCTAAGGAAGGAAAGAAGCCAGCAGATGCGTTGAATCTTCATTTCATCGCAGTCTCTCATTCTGAGCAAGCACGAAGGCAACAGTGGAAATGAAAAAAGTCCCTCAAATAGGAAGAAACCTCCAGCAGAACCAGGCTCTGTATTTGTCCAAGCACTGAACCCTGAGGAACTCCATAAGTAACTTTGGTATAAGAAGAAGATTTATTATTTACATTTACAACTTGGAATCCATCAGATAGATATGATTTAAACCAATTTAAAGCTGTTCCTGTAATCCCGATATCATATTTAAGCCTCTGTAATAGAATATTATGATCATCTGTATCAAATGCAGCACTGAGGTCTAACAGGACCAGTGTAGACACAAGTCCATTGTCTGAGACCATGAGAATATCATTAGTAACTTTCACCAGTGCAGATTTATTGCTGTGGTGAGCTCTAAAACCTGACTGAAACTTCAAACTGATTATTTATTTGTAGATGTTCACGCAACTGACCTGCAACTATATCCTAGAATTTTTGAGACGAAAGTTAGATTAGATATAGGTCTATAGTTGGCTAAGATTCCTGAGTCAAGTTTATGTTTCGTAAGTAAAGGTTTAATTACAGCAATCTTAAAGCTCTGTGGTACGTAACCATTTATTAGAGACAAATTAAGCAGATCCAAGGTGTGGTTATTAATTAAGGGAAATACATTTTTAAATAGTCTGGTTGGGATGGGATCTAGCAGACATGTGGATGGTTTGGGTGAAGCTATTATTTTTGACGATTCAGAGAGCTCAACAGGACAAAAACAGTCCAAACATAAATCAGGTTCTAGTGACGTTTCTAAAATTGCCTCATCTGACACAGAACCAGAGGCGATAGTAGGAAGGGTGGTTTGATTTATTTTTTTTTCCCTTAATTGAAAAATTTTTATTTATAAAGAATCTCATGAACTCATCACTGCTTATCGTTGTAGGGATACATGAATCAACAAAGATATGATTTTTCATTAGCCATTAATTAAAAATTATAAAAGATTAGAAAAATAAATATTTATGAAAGCATACATGTTATAAATGGTGTCATTATAGATTCGTTTTTATGCAAATCTTAATTACGGCAGATTTCCTGCAGCTTGTGCTCATCCTGACTTGTTTTGTCAGCATGGGTCTCAATTAAGACTCACTTCCAGCGTTTACGTCGTGGTCTCCGTGTTTCCTCGTTCTCCTCCACAGAAATAGGCGACATGGTGCCCGACACGTCCAAGGTGTTCACAGCTTCCAACACCCTGCAGCGGGTGACCTGCCGACGCCCTCGTGGGAGGCCCGAGCCCGAGGTGTGGTGGATGAGAGATGGCCGGCGGCTGCCCACGGAGGGCAGGGTGCACCAAGACGGCCTGGACCTGGTCTTCAGTCCAACGGAGGAGGGGGATTCAGGGGCTTACACGTGCCTGGCCCAAAACAAGGCCGGGCGCAGGGTGCAGCAGCTCACATTCATAGTTGCCAGTAAGTCATGCAGAGAAACAGGACAATGAAAATGCCTCTCTGAATCTTCTGGTGTCGTCTTTATGTTGAAGCCAGGAGGCAGAAACGATCGTGTGAAAGTTGCAACGAAAATGCCGAAGGAGGTTTGTGTTTCAGGTCTCTGATTTTATGTTCCAAATTTTAGAAAGTTATATTGATGATGGAGAGGAATTGGAAATACCCTCCTGGGACCAGCAGGGATTATTCGTTTTCATCTTTAGATGGTCCAAAGAACTTTACTAGTTGAACTTTTATTCAAGAAACGGTCCAAAGTTCCACCATCCGTCAGCTTTCTCCTCTAAAGCCCGACAGTCTTTTGGTACTTCGTTTTTTAATATTCCAAGATGAAAACTTGCCAACTTTTAGGTGTGCAAACTGTAGAAAGACAACCAAGATAGAAAGAAATGGTAAAGGTGCTGCCAGTAGCTTGTTACTATGGTAACCACACAACCTGTGTCTCGCTCCCTGAGAGTAGAAAGTAAGACTTCGAGTAATAGTTACTGTGTGAAAACTAAACGTGCTGGAAAATACATTCCTGAACCAAAATTAATAATTGTTCATTTTTATTTATTTATGGATAGTTACAATAAGCGAATCAGATACAAGTGAAGTCATTAGAGTTTAGGCGTTCGCTCTCTGCACTTTGTGGGGGTTTGAGAGGAAAACACAAGTTGTACAGACGTGAGAGACACTCCGGGTGAAAGAGGACAAAGAAACCTACGCCTGGATGTATAAACCGTTTGATTTTTTTTATTCTAAAATGTCCAAAACTCATAAAATCAAACAGTTAAAACCTGAAAAATTGTTAAAATGATGTTAAAAAAACCTCCTGTGAGCTGTTTAAACTGATAATGTTTCTACTCTGAAGCCTGTCTGAGTTGTGTGTGTGTTTGTCCGCAGCTGCCCCGGTGTGGGTGACCAAACCTCAGGACAGCAACCTAGAAGAAGGCAGACCTGGTTACCTTCACTGTAACGCTCAGGCCACCCCTCAGCCCGAGGTCGTCTGGTACCGCAACAACATGATGATCACACTCGAGGTTTGTTCTGCGCCCTTCTCTCCGTTCTATCGTTTCTCCCCGGCCCCACTGCGGCGCGATGAGGGGGCGTTGGAGATACCTTCAGTCCGTCTGTGCATGTTGAGTGTTCTTTCAAAATTGGGTTGCAGTGTCAAAATCCAAGATGGCTGTCTCCGTATATGTCCCATTTGTCTTGTGAGCTGCATAACTTGAAAAATAAGCAACTTGCCGACTTCCGTTTATGTGTGTGGCTGCATGTAGGCGTAAGAAAGCTCGCCATCGAAAATTGTTTTGCCTTGTTAAAATCCAAGATGGCTGCTGCCATTAATATGAACCCTGTGAGCTGGATAACTTGAGAATAAGCAACATGCTGATTTTCACTTGAGTGTGTGGCTGCATCTATGCATAAGAAAGGTCATAAATGCACATATTGCTTAAGAGTAAAGTTTCCTGAAATGATTGGGGTGGCCGAAGATTAATCTATGAGGGACAAGGCCACCGCTGCCCCCCCAACCTTCTCCATCCATTGTACCTGGCGGTGGATTAAACTTCTCCCTCCACTGTCCAGGGTCTGTCGCTCTGTGCTGCCTGAGACGAGCGAGAACATTAAAACTATGTCTGTTCTTCTCCCCACTTGAACATCTTGCACCAAAAACATTTAGGTTGACTTGCCCTCCCTGTTCAATTCCAGTCCAGAAGACCACTCGTCTCAAACGTTGCAAACATTCGATATTTAAATCCGTCAGTGATGGGGGTTACATCGATGTTTATATTTCATGACGTTTAAGTTTTAACTTCTCTTTCTTTGTCTCCTCCAGGACTCTCGCTTCAAGACGTTCTCTAACGGCACCCTGAGGATCAACAACGTGGAGGTGTACGACGCTCACATGTACAGCTGTGAAACCAAGACCGTAGGCGGCCGGCTGTCGGGCCACGCCAGAGTTATTGTTCTTGGTGAGCTGCGGAGAAATCACTCAGTAATTCACTTCCTTTACTCGGCTTCTATTAAAGACTAGATGATGCTGTGAGGTCACAGCCATGAAACGAGTGAACGGGGTCACGGTTGTTGTTCACCGAGGTGTAACCATGACTCAAACATGGCAGCCCTGTTTCAGCCTGCGCGTCAACGCCTTATCTCCACGATGGATGACCGCCTGCAGCCGCAGCTCCTCGGCCCGACGTGTCCGCTCTCCGTTCATCTGATCTGAGCTCAGTCCTCATCAGATCGGTGAACTCGTGTCGCCGCCACTTTTCCACAAACGTCTGCGTGAACACGATTTGGATCAGCTTAGTGTCATTTAATCTGTAGGGCAAGTTGCACAAAAGAGGCTTTGACTTGCACCCCACCCCCATTTTGGTGTGTTACACACGTCTCTGATATGTGTGTGTGTTTCAGAGAAGCTGAAATTCACACCGACCCCCCAGCCTTCCCAGTGCCTGGAGCTGGATAAGGAGATCACCATCCAGTGCTCCGCTAAAGGCCGAGAGATCCCGACAATCCGCTGGACCAAAGCAGGTAGGCAAGCCACCGGGTTGACCTTTAACCCCCCCAGTTGCTGGAGATCAGATTAGGAACAGCTGCTCAATAAGCTAAAACATCTCGCAGCTCTTTACGACGAGACATGAAGAACGATGATAAATAGAACCTGTATGTTTATATACATGTACAGATCTCATTCATTCCAGCTTTATTTAGACAGGTTGGTCCCATTGAGCCTCGAGGACTCGTTTACAAGAGAGACCATGTACATGTGTATGTGCATATTTGTCTTTTTTCAAGTGTGTGTGTTCTGCTTCTTTTTGATTATTCACATGTTTTTTATACAATTAGAAGATGCTGTAGGATGCCTCAAAAATTCCCTCCTGGGATTAATAAAGCACCTACTTACCTTCCTTCCTTCTTTCCTTCCTTCCTACCTACCTTCCTAACTTTCTTCCTACATTCCTTCCTACCTACCTACATAACTTCTGTCCTACCTACCTTCCTACCTTTCTTCCTACCTTCCTTCCTTCTTTCCTTCCTACCTACCTTCCTTCCTTCGTATCTAACAGCCTTCCTTCCTACTTATCTACCTTCCTTCCTTCCTTCCTTCTTTCCTACCTACCATCCTTCCTTCCTATCTACCTTCCTACCTACCTTCCTTCTTTCCTACCTATCTTCCTTCCTTCCTACCTACTACCTACCTTCCTTCTCTCCTACCTACCTCCCTTCCTTCCTTCCTTCCTACCTATCTACCTACCTACCTTCCTTCCTTCCTACCTACTACCTACCTTCCTTCTCTCCTACCTATCTACCTTCCTACCTTCCTTCCTACCTATCTACCTTCCTACCTTTTTTCCTACCTACCTACCTTCCTTCCTACCTATCTACCTTCCTTCCTAGCTTCCTACCTACCTTCCTTCCTTCTTTCATTCCTTCCTTCTTTCCTACTTACCTACCTACCTAATTACACATCTACAACTGATTAATTTTGAGGTCAACCCAGTTCAAGATGGCTGCCATAGCTAAGTGAACTCATCAAACACAAATGTAGCTGTAACTCAGTTTAACAGATGTTGAGCGAACCTTTACTGTGGTAGTAGCTGAGCGTCATCCTCGACACACCGATCACTGCGTGAGATTTTACACGATGTTGGCGTTTGTAAAGTTTGACCAAAATGGTGACAACTCCTGTCCTTCAAGGAATGCAGGGTCTTTAAACTCGTTTTTATAAATAACCATGTGTCGTATCTCCCCCCTCAGATGGAGGAGAACTACCCCCCCACGTGGAGCAGAGGAACGGCCAGCTTCATTTCACCAAAGTCACCCGCAGCGACGCTGGCAACTACACCTGCATCGCCTCCAACCGCCTGCAGGGGGAGATCCGAGCCCTGGTGTCCCTCACTGTGGCCGGTAAACTCTCGGCTGTCATTCTGGAGACAGGAAGTAATGATAAACAGGCGTGCCACAGAACTTCTCGTCTGAGAGTAGTTTTATACCGAGACCGACATTGATCGTTCTCGTTAGGTTACTTTTATTTTGCACTCGGTGACTGTTGTATTGCAAACTCTCGGCCTCTAAACAAAGTGTTGGACTTCAGCTGCTGTCTTCCAAACCTGAGCTCTTGTTCCGTTTTGTTTTCCGTTTGTATTCGTGCAGTGTACATTCGCTTCAAGGTGGAGCCGGAAAACACGACCGTGTACCAGGGCCACACAGCCGTGCTGCACTGCCAGGCCACCGGCGACCCCGAGCCTCACATCCACTGGATGGTTAAAGACAAGGCGCTGGACACCCGAAAGAAGAGGAGGTAAGCAAGACGCCCACGTTTGTAGTCTCTACAGGCTCCATGTACGTTCTCTCTGCTCTCATGATGGAATGGCTGAGCAGCTGTAGCTGATGCAAATTATTCTTAATGTTCATTATTTTCCTGTTTTTAATTTTTCTGTATGTTTTTGGAACCTAACTGCTAACTTTTAAACATACAACTTTTTTTACAAAAACTTTTCCTGTTAATATACTGTATATTAGAGTCCCTTCAAATCCTCCAAAACCTTTGTTCTCTTTGGAATCCACTTCATACTAGTACTACTACTGCAAATGCTAATGTTACTGCTGTTAATGCCAGTACTACTGCTAATGTGAGTACTGCTGCTAATACTACTTGTACTGATAATAATTTTAGTTAAAAGCTAACATTTTTTTAAATTAAACTCTTTGCTGCTTTTAGCTAGCCTTTAGTTACTTTTAACTTTTTTAGCTGGATTTGTCAAAAGTAACAAAAGAAAAGCTAAAAGCTGCAAAAAGTTAGGTAAAAGGCCAAACGTAGCAAAATGCTAACAAAAAGCAATGAATGGAGAGCTAAAAGCTAAAATTATCTGAAGGCTAGCTAAAAGCCGAAAGTAGCAAAAGGTTAGCTGAAAAACAATTGTAGCAAATTAGTTCTTAAAAGCCAAATGTTGACAAATAATAGCTAAAAACAAAACCAACTAGCCTAAAGCACAAATTAGTAAATGCTAGCAAAAAGTAGCAAATGGTTAGCTAAAAGTCAAAAGTGGCAAGATGCTATCATCGAGCAATAAATGGTTAGCTAAAATTATCTATAAAGTAGGTAAAAACGGAAAATAGCAAAATGCTAGCTAAAAATCAAAAGTAACAAAACACTA